CACATTTAAATATTTGAAATTAAATTTTTGTTGGTTTTGTAATAGAAATGATATTGGTAAAATTTAACTGAAAAGGAAAAAACAATTGTAAAATATCAAAATCTATTTAACAAAAGTGATACTTTTATAATATTTATAATTTTGATGTCATTAAATGTCATGTCTCGCTATAAATGTCTTCGTAATGCCTTTTATTTTATTCAATTTCCCTATTTCAGATATGAAATTTGTTATAACTGATCCATGCACCAATGTATTTGAATTGTTTAGTATTTACTAATTCTGAAGTTTGATTTGAAGTCTCTGAAGATTGATTTCAAGAGGATTAAAACAAAGCAATTCTTATCAAATAATGTTTGATGGCTAATTAAAAATAAAATACTGAATAAAAAAACTTCTAAAAATATTAAATAATTAGAAACTTATAATAAATGCATAGTACAATATCAAACTGATAGATGAGTCACACTTTGACGAGTGTGGTTTACCGTGTCATACTAGACAATCTTTCTTGCCAAAATATATCTTACACATTTATAAGTCATTCATTACATTGAATATTGCCATCGCATTTGATCTGGAGTTTCCGCGATGTATTTGGAGATTCTTGATAAAATATAAAGAAGAATCTACAATGCCCGTGATCTTGAGCTGGTATCTCGGTTTCACATCACCATAATGTAATTTCCCTATACCTTTTCTATAAATATTTTCATTGTAATTATTCTTATGAGCTTTCCTCTTTGTTACCTAGACTTTATGACTTTAAGCGCAGTACTAGGTTGGCGGCAAGGTCTCTTCATTTTACAGTTGAAATGGCTCAGATATAACCGCAAGTTCTATGCTAACAGCTTTTTTCCTCTCATGTAGAGCTTTCATCTTCAAAAATTTAAATAAAATACCAATTGTTATCTCCGGTCTTCTTAATTTAATCTTCTTTTACTGTTCTCTGCCCTTTGTAATGTTTACTTTTTCTCATATTCTCTCACACTCAGTAACCTTTTGTGTCTCAGTGGCTTCATTGCTATGCTTGGGGTCAAATGATCAAATGATTAAATAACCAATTTGCTTAAATGACAAACGCACTACACAGCAATTTTAACAGTTATATTTTACTTGAAGTTTTTATATTCTTGTAGCTTAGGGAAGGTTACTGAATAGAATAAACAAACGAAGGTTGGTAATGAACGACAATGTTTAGGACATGAAGAACACATATAAGATTCGCCAGCGGCGCGTAGAAGAAGTAGTCAACTGCTAGAAGTGAATCAAGTGAATTCTACAATTAATCTCCAACTGTAGAATATCTACCAACTGCCCCACGGGGTCAGACGAGGCACAAAGCCAAAGTTAATGTGGGGTATCCGAGCCCGTAGGCTTGACGAAAAATCCCCCGTAGACCCGTATAAAACTGGGTCGGGTAGCTGTTTCCCAAGACGAGACTCTGCCTTTCGACATAGCCTCGTCTGGGGATAATCTTTTTGACGAGCACAGCAAGAGACGAATCTCCAAGGGCAGATCTACATACAATATTTACTACTGTATTTATGTGAACAGGGACATACTCATTATCGTCCGTAGGTATGCTACAACAGATCTGCAATGCTTTCTTATATTTATTTTTAAAGGCACAAAGAATGATGTCATTTTTAAAAAATTCTAAATGGGTCTTTCATTAAGTCTAAAATATCTAATTCCCCAAAATTTGATTGGGAATAAAATTCTTATTTTAGTTCCTCATATTCGATGACAATATTGTCTTTATGAGTCACAATAACCCTGGCGATAGTACGCTCCTAGGACAAAATATTAGAATGAAAGCATTGAGCACTAGGGATATTGAAGATAAATGTGTTGGTGAAAAAAGAAAAGGCAATTTAGTCATCCTATTTATAAGAAGATGCATACTCTCATAAAAGATGCTGAATTTCTTAATGCTGCAATAGAGTATGAAATACATCTTTTACTGAGCAAAGATGCAATGAACAATTTTAAGGCTGTTCTGGATTTTAAAAGTGATAGTGTGTCCACGTTTGGTCAAAAGTTGAAACTTCACTGTACCAATTCTGGACATTATTATATCCTCTTAAGTCTAAAAAGGTTAATTTACCTCTGGAATCAATGCTCGACCATTTTCACAAGTTAAACACTTCTGAGCGTAGTTAACCCTCCATTTTAACCAAGATAGTTAAACATTATGCTATTAGTTCAGCCAGCTGCAAAATATGTGACTATGTGTTTTGTAATGTGAACAAAAATGGGAAGCTTATAATCAAAGATTCTTATTTTTATATATAAAAAAATCTACTTAAACATTACATTTGAAAGTAATTACCGAACATTCCAATTTTTTTTTTTTAAACAAGAGTATTCATCTTTTAGTTCTTTACAATTTTTTCTCCTATTTATTCGATGCCTTTTCGGTGTAATTTTTTTTCACTTACAGAGTCTTTTGGCAAAAACGAAAAGCATATATACTAGCAATGCAAGACTTCAAGTCAATATGAAGACAATAAGAAAAATATCATTCCTTTCTAAAATTGTTTTGAAATTCCATATCAATGCAGAATATAGTCACATGACTCTCCATAAATGCCACACGCCTTTAGATCACAGCCAATCATGACCCGCCACAAATGTCATATCATTTCAGAACGTAGCCAATCATGGCTCTCCATAAATGCTTAAGAACATAGCCTAAATCATAAATATATAATTATATGAATTTGAATATATTTAAAGAGCTAACTATATTTTTAATTTTTTTTTAATTGAATAATAGCACCAAAATTTAGCACTAATAACAACTTAGATAACTCATCATTGCTAACTTTCTGAAAAAGATGCTGAAACTGCTATATAATGCGAAGCGGTGCTGAAAATTTCTTGTTTTAACTCACTTTCCAAACTCTGACCTAAGCTGCACATATCAGAATTTTAAAAAATCCCATCAAACCAATCTTATAACTGAAATAAAATATGTGTGAAAATGCTATACTGTAGAAATTGCAGACCATATAGGTGAAAGGAATAACCTCACCGGTGATGTTTGTGATAGGTTTTGCTTGAATAAAGCAAGAAAATGGAGTCATATGTAGACATCGTAGCAGAATATCGACCAACTATGAAATGGTATTAATATTAAATAACAATCCATGTCACATGTGTGTAAAAGTGTGCAAGTTAGCTTGTAGGCTAAAAAGGCATGGAAGCATTTAGGAAAACAAATCTGATAACAGAAAATTTTATGCGTCTTCCAAATTTCTGCTTGATGTTTTGAAAGTTTATCCAGTTTAAAGAGCGACGGTTAGACTATACTTTGAGGTGGTGGCCATTGTCATTTATGTTTCAACTTTAGTGGGTTAGCCAATCTGAGAAATAATCAAGTAGAAGAAATTGTTAAACAATAAATATTTTTTTTTTTTATAAACACAACAAATGAAGTCAAGTGAATGAATTCAATAGTTTAAGTGCCTACTGACCAAGTCGCGTCGAAGTTTCGTTTTTATTAGTTCTCTTGGTCACGTGGGTGGATCGTTTACATTTTGCGGCGTCAACTAGAGGTCAAAATTTGAGTTCGATATCTTCGGACATAGTTGACGACACCTAATTAATATTTTTCAACCAATCAGAATGCATCAGTTGTTATACTTGGTTGGGAGCCCCTATGTGTTTAACTTGCACAAAATTTGAGATTTAAAAAAATGTAGGAATCTGATTCTACACAAATTAACACTTTCAGTGCCAAATTTATTACTTTTTCACCGATGTGTGCAAGCCAGAATGTTTTACATTGGCATGTTACAATACTTTAGTGTCATTAATTGGCCAGCCTTTCTTTAAATATAAATTAAATTTCTTATTGAATTATTTTTTTATATACTTTTTTAATTGTATATTTGGCTAGACCAACAGAACTTAAGTAATGCATTGTTAAAAACTTTTATTTTTTATTTTTAAAACATTGTCACCAATACAAAACAATGTGTCACCAATGGAAAACTCATGAACAGAATATGAATAGAATAATAAAGAATATGTCAATGTTTGAATATTAAGGCGAGAAAGAGGAATTATTCATAGCAGTGGGCAGAAAAAAAATGAAGACACAAATTTCATAATTGTAACGGTAATTTTGACATTAGTCGTTTGAAATCTTCCCATTTGAAAGAATTTTTCCGGAAAACAAGTTTCCCAAGTTCACAATCATTGCTCTTTCTTGATGGGCGTTTCCTGTCTTTTGCTTAACTTAGTGTTGATACTCTATATCTTCATTATATCATTATTTTCCCTTCTAGTTTACATACGCACAAATGTCCCTGAGAAATATATGAATCCATCTTTTCTACCCTCAACTATAAGTGAAATAGTATGGCTTGTATCTGGAAAAGCCCTAAAAATAAATCAATCAATCCCTTCTATTTACATGTGCTATCTATTTTTGTTGTTGAATGTCTTCAAATGATGTGATGTTTGTTATTTGATAAAGATCTTTGTTTGTGATTTTGTAGTGTCAGTCTTCGAGATCCAACGAAGGTCAGTCACCTTCAAGACCTCCAGGGTTTATTTACTTGAATCCATTTTTAATCATTGATCAGAGAAAACCGTTGTATATAACTGACAGTTTAGACATTTCTGAACAAGTTGGACGCACTGATTGACATCCATAAGAGAGTGTAGATATGACATAGCTATAAAGGAGTCCATTTCACTTAGTTTTCGAACGTTGTTAATTGTATTTTGCAACACAAAGACATGTGTGCGCCAACTGCCGGCCATCACTCGTCGCCCGCCCTGTTGTAACCCGCCAGGTCATCGCCCGCCTGGTCATGATCCACCCGGTTGTGGCAAGCCCCGGTCATCGCCGGCCCGCTCGTAACCTGCCCGCTCGTAACCTGCATGGTCTGCAAGTGGGCGACATCCTGTTTTCAACGGCGTGAGAAAAACGAAAGACGAGGGTACGGTGACATATTTCTCTACTAAGGGGCCTCGAGACAATGGATCTTGAGTCCGTAACGTGCGTTCCAGGTGTCGATGTTCACCGAGTCCTGCAATTCGCCTCAGTTATCGCGGCTGGCCACACTCTTTGTTGACGGACGAGCCGAGTGATAGCCCATCCAATTGACGTTTTAAAAAAGGTCGATCTTACAGTGTTAAAAAAACTACTCAAAGCACAACTTATTCTGCGTTCAATTTCCCTATCTTAAAAAGGGAAACATTTTCTAATTAATATCATTTGGGACATAAAACTTAAACTATTAAAAATGCTAATTAACTCCATTTAACACCAAACATGTTGATGCGCGTTTTAAATGCCTATTCAGATTTTGTATCAATCTGCCAGTAATTTTGGTCAAAGTTGAAAATGAATTATTTGTTCTGTTCCGACTAAGATTTTTTTAGACTATAATTTTTTAATATTATTGAAACATTTGTATAACATTATTTGAAATGTTTATGAAGAATTCCTATGAGAGAAAGTTTCAAGTCCTAATGAATATGTTTTTGTATGATTTTTTAATAAAAATTGAATTGAAACCTGCCTATTGTGTTATCATCTATAAAATTAAATTGAAATCTCTTGTTATGACATTCTATAAATTAACTTGAATTTCACTCGTAATTTTATAATGGTACACAGCTTGAAATGTACGCAAAAACAAATGAAAACAATAAACATATTTTTAATAAAAAAATGTCACGATTTTTACTTGTTTTGGCCTTCTACTTTTATTTATTTATTATACCTGTTATTATTCAGCATAAATGTTTTTATTTTATGGTTCTTCTCTTAAATCAAGATTGATATATAGATAGGTATATGTATATATGTAAATATAAGTTTTCTTTTAAATATTTTCATCTGAAGTATCACTGCTATTAGTAAAAATTATTACTAATAGTTTTACTTCATCATACTATTTTACTATTTTTATCACATTTCAGGTTTACATACTTTTTGACTACAATATTATAATCATAATCAAAAAGCACTAATAACAGGAAATATGTCCAGTAATAATTGAGCAGTTCTAAAAAAAGATCAAGATGATGTCTACTTTTTTCTATTTACTCAACCCTCCACGAGGTCAGATGGTTATACAAGGTCGGTTTAATGTGGAGAACCCGAGCGCGTACACACGGGCAAGGAACAAAAATTCCCGAGCCCTCGCAACCGTCGGTTGCGTTGGCCTGGGTGCGTGCACCGATCTCTCTCTCTCTAGTGCAATGAGAGGGTGCGACCTCGAGCAGCTGTTCCTCAGGGCCAGCACTTCTCAATATAATTTTTCTAAGTTGTGACTCTGTCCTTTGATGGAGTTGCCCCTAAGTGAATTCTGGCTAAAGACGGAGACACAACTGAGAGATGATAAGTAATGTGTTACAAACTACTTGAGAGAGAGAGAGTAATTTATACACTATGGACAGTGGAATGAGAACAATCTTCTCTGTATATTAAATAAAGTGTACAGTTTGAAATTCCTTGGTGGTTAATTAAACTGGTAACACATGAAGAAGGCCGAACGCCACAATGGCCGATGTATTGCGATAATAATAATAATAATAATAATAATAAAGATAAGGATATTAGTCCGAATGTAAATAAAGAAAATAATGATAACTCCTCATCCACAAAATTCAGACTGGATGAAAATTATTGCGTCATGTTCCCTACAAATTTCAATCAATCCTATCACTGATATTTTGTCTGCACTCGAGTGAAAGAAATTTGTTTTTTCTGGATGGAGTAACATACGAAAAGAAGGGAAAATTTTACAAAAGGAAAAAAAATTTTTAAGTCCAATAAAATGCTTTAAATAATAAACCATAGAAATATCTTGTCGGTATGACATAGATTAATAAATGCATCTCCAAGAGAGGACTAACACCCCGCCAAACGAAGCCACCTTCTTGTGGGATACTTGCAGACTGCATTTTACATGAAACCTACGTCTACGACTTTGACTCTAGTGCAAATCGGAACTATGTCTACTAATTTTGCATTCTAGTGTAAAACCAAATTTATGTCTACTTTTCGGACTCTAGTGTAAACTAAAGTTATGTCACCATTTTGAACTCTACTATAAAAGCAAACCTGTGTCTAACTTTTAGCCTCTAGTGAAAACCAAACCTATGTCTGCATTTTTATTTTAATGTAAAATAAAATCTGTCTACCTGTTTGCTTCTAGTGTAAACCAAACATAAATCTATATTAGTGAATCTAGTGCAAAACCAAATCTATTTCTACCTTTTTTTCTCCCGTGTAAACCTGACCCATGTCTCCATTGTGTTAAAACCAAATATATGTCTACCTTTTTTTACTCTAGTATAAACCAAAGTTATATCTACTGTTTGACACTACGGTAAAAATAAATCTGTCTAAATAAAAATGTCTAACCTTTTGCTTCTAGTGTAAACCAAATCTAAGTCTACATTATTGAATGTAGAGCAAAACCAAATATATGTTTACCTTTTTTTACTCTAGTCTAACCCAGACCTATATCTACTGTTTGACTCTAGTGTAAAACCAAATCTGTCTACCCTTTTTCCTCTAGTGTAAATCAAACCTCAGTTTACATTATTAAATCTAGGGCAAAACCAAATATATGTCTACATTTTTGCCTCCAGTGTAAACCAAACCTAAATGTACATTAATGACTCTAGTGCAAAACCAATGTCTATGTTTTGTTTTTTTGTTTTTTTTTTTTGCTTCTATGTAAACCAAACCTATGTCTCCATTTTTGACTTAAATTTGACCCTGAGGTTATAACGGAGGCATATACAATGGATAGAATCTTGTCCTGTGCTGTCTTGATTCAAGACCCTGAGGTTACAACGGAAAGACTTCACCCCAAATCGATGAGGATCTTCATTCGCCTATACCAGTTAACTGCTAAGTAAAGACATTTGACACCAAGTTCTGCATATAGAATGATTGAAAGGTAACACGCTCTTTTATGTACGAGGAGCTATCCAGGAGTCCTGAATTAAACCGTGTGACTTTTTTCTTTGGGGTTGGTTAAAGGTGTATGTCTACTATACCAAACCAAGACTTTGGAAGAACTTGAATGGCGAATACAAGAAGTTATATCTTCCATAACAAAAGAGTTTCTGGTGAAACCAGTTGACGCGATTCTTGGGCGACTCGAGAAGCTGGTAGCGAAACCTGGTGTCCATATCAAATTTTAAATAAAACTTCATGCTAAATGCTTTCCTCTTATTGCTATCACCCTCACCAACAAATCCGGGGGTTCTTTTCTTATCCGAACAATCACCATTAGACTCATTCAACTCTTTCCCATTCCTCTGCACTGTTTTCAGATTGACATCCAAACACTCTGCTTGTAAAAATTATAATAAATAAATAAATTATAATTATTTTAAAATGTAGACTTACTTTTCAATCACCTTGTAGATTAATAGTAAAAAGCCTAGAACTAAATTGCCACTATTTCTAATTTGATTTAATATCTGTACATAAATCCTTTTAGTATTGTGACCTAAAATCTTGTTTATTTTTACCTTTAATTTACTGCTTTTCTTGAATCATTAAAGGTTGTATAAAGGTAACAAGCACTGTTAGGTTTCACTTTATTAAAATGCGGGCCATTAACGTTGGACACTTTGCGGACTCAGAAGGAAAACGGCAAAAACTCTGAGAGAAGTTAGAAAAGGAAAGCGTGAAGAAAGGAATAAACCCTTAACTATAAGAAGACAGAATGAATGGGAATCAACAAGAGAAACAACCAAAGATGTGAGGTTTGAATTGGAGACATGAGAATCAAGCAGGTAAAGAAATTGAAATATTTGTGTAATATAATGAGAAATTATGGAAAATGTGAATCCGGGCACCAGAGGCGAATCAGAGTAACGAAAGATACCTTCCAATAATTAAGCAAATATATACGAAAATTTCGTTAGAAATAAAGAAAGATTTTTGAACTACTATGTCATTCAGTGAATGCTGGACAATATCCTTACAGCCGAAAAAGACGCTCGAAGCAAATATATACGACGATTTCGTATGAGAAAGATTGTTGAACTGTTATGCCTCTCCTTCAGTATGGCAGTGAATGTTGGACAATTTTCTTACAACTGATACACATGACCTTCTGCCAAACCTAAACTAAGCTTAGTCGAACCACCCACATTTTGTCCTTATTCCATTTGTACGGAGGAAGTTTCATTCAGACAGCTCCCCCCCAAGAACTGCTATTTTTTGGAACAGACTCCTGCAGGGATGCTTCTTTGAACATTACAATCCTAACCTCTTCACATCAAGTATCAGTGGTTATCTGTCCTCCTTATCATAATAATCTTCTTTCTACCTCCTCTTATATTCATATCATTTCGTAACCATCTACCTTGAGTGGCTCTTGAGCCTTGCATAGGGTGGAATTTAATAAAACAAATTTCTAATAGTATACAAAATAAGAAACACAATTGATTTTGTATTTTTTTTAAAAAGTGGCGATTATAAAAGAACTAGAAGTCCAAACAGGTGTTTTATAATATTTCTGAACAATACAAGATGACATTTTTCTGAAGGCGGCTTCATAATGAAATCTATTAAAAAAAACTGAAGAATATTTAAGAAAAAAGAGTGAGGAAAAGAATAAACGGTTAACTATAAGAAGACAGAATGAATGGGAATCAACAAGAGAAACAACCAAAGATGTGAGTTTTGAATTGGAGACATGAGAATCAAGCAAGTACAGAAAATTATCTGCCTGGGTAGTGTAGTAACAGACAACGGAAAATGTCACACAGAGAGCCGAAGGTGCATCGGAAAAGCGTAAGTTACCTTCCAGAAACTAAACAAAGTAAGAATAGAAACACAACATGAACGAGATCAGAACTGCTATTTTATAGCTATAATCTTGGACTGTGAATAGTGAACAATTTTCTTAAAGAGGAAGAAGAGACATGCAGCGACAAAAATGTGGCTCTATAGACGAGTGTTGAAAATACCGTACATAACACACAAGCAACGACGAAATTCTATAGAAAATTAGAACTAGAAAGTCACTGCTACTTAAAATCAGAAAGAGTTGAAATATCTACGAGACATTATGAGAAAGGACGTCATAGAAAAGTTAATACTCACAGGAT